AATTAGATTTGTCTTTGTTTACAGTCATGCCTGCCTTTTACAATCTCACTAAAATTTACTCCATTTTATATTTCAATTCTTGTTTAGTTCTTGTCCCTATACATATATCTTCCTGGTATATTATCATGTTTCTTATTTTTCCTAAGACTCTCTCAATTGCTTTCTGAAAAATATGACTCAAAGTCTTTATCCCAAACAGATGAGTCCACCTTAGTAAGCCTATAGGGGTGTTTATTGTGGTGACTTCCTTGAATTTCTCATCAAGTTCTATTTAGTTGTATGCTGCCTTGAGATCAATATTTTGCAAAGTGTTCTATTTTTGCTAACTCGTGGCTTGCAGTTTCAATATTTGGCAAAGGAAAAGAGTCTGAACATATCTAGTGATTTACCCCTATCTTGTAATCACCACAAATCCTTAAATCTCAGTCAGGTTTCTTTATTGCTACTATCGGTGATGCCCAATTGCTACCACTTTGAGTCACTCTTTCTAGTATGCCTTGTATCATTTTGTTTAACTTGGCCACCATCAAAGGGAGGATAAGAATTGGAACTCTTCTTGATTCAATATATTTTGGGTGATAATTTTCTTTTAGTTGAATACTTGCTTTATAGCCTTTCAATAATCCAATTTCATTTTCTTGTGTTTCCATGGAATTGATTAACCTTGCTGTATCTACTTTTAATACATCAATTTCTAGTAATCCATGATATTTTTGCATTCTACAACTGTAATGGGAATTACTTCAAAATGCCTTTCAGTTTCAAAATTGCCTTGAAATGTACCCATTATTCCTATAGTCATTCCATCAAATTGCTTTAATTGGATGTTGTTTTTTTTTTAATTTAAGTCGTCCCAATTTGATCCAGAAGTTTTTTGGTATCAATGTGACTTCACTGCCTGTATCAACTTGCACGTGAAATATCTGGCCATTTATCCTTATTTTTTCTCTTCTTCTTTTTTGCATATTCACTGTAAGTATTTCAGCCTCTTTTTTGGATGGGGGTTTGTACTTTTTGTACTCTTTCTATTTTCTTTTTCTATTTGCATACATTGTGAAAATTATCTATTTTTTTGCAATTTGGACATACTTTTCCTAAAGCAGGACATTTATACTTGCCTCTCTCATGATTTTTTCCACGGTATCTGCATTTAATTATGGACTTAGTTGTGCTCATCCTGTATGCCTCGAATTCCTCTTTTGGTTGATTAATTTCTCTAATCAACTCTAACTGTTGAAAAAATCTTGATGCTAGCTTCCAAACTCATGCTACTACTTTGTAAACTTTCCAGTATTTTTGTTTCTGGTTTTGGTCTTGAAAACCTTCAATTATCCTGAGAAGTCTTCCATAGTCATTTCCCAAGTTCCCAACTTTTCAAATTCTCAATACTTGGCACATTCTCTTAATCTATGTAAGTACTGCATAATGGAATCATTGGGTGCTTGTCTTGTTTGTAAAAACTTGGTTCTTTCAGCAATGACTAATCTTTTCTTTGGTCTTATGTTCTTTTCTATAACTTTGACAATTTCTTCAAATGTCATTTCTTCTAATTTGCTCGGGTAACATAGTGTTGAAAATTTCTTTACTGCTTTGCACCCAGCAGTAGCAAGAAATAAATCTGTTATCTCATTCTCTCCTCTTTCATTTTTGGTGTCTCATAAATTTTTTACTCTTGCAAATGCCACAAAAGTTCTTATTCACGTTTCCATATGTTCTGGTTCTTTCAGCACATTTAAGGATCCTATCAGCAATGCCATTGTTATGTTGGGTATATCTCTCTGTAGTAGCAGTTTTAGCACAGTTCCCCATGTTACTTTAAGCAAACAGGTTCACTGAGTAATGCTGTCCTGCTCACCGGTTGTTTTCCTTTTATGCTTGTTCTATCTCCTTTGCACATGATACTACAGATTAAAAAAAGAAATTTTCTTACACACTCATCATTTACTTGTGTAAAGAATTGTTGTCACTGCTTTTAGTTTAACAAGATGTAGTGCTTGCAACAGTTTATCAACCATAACGTGATTTCAATATGCACCTACTGCAACAAGCTCCATAATATTAAATTGATGCCTTGATACTTTGCACGTAGTGTTCTTTGGCTTGAAATCTTCAATCTTCTTTATCCAAATTTGATGATAATACAAAAACTGAGGCCAAATATTTATCTTGGTCTTATCCAAGGAACTACATGGCTTATATTGATTTTCCCAGCATAGCTTAGATGTGGCACAAGGTCGAAAGAAGGGGGCACCCAGTGAGGATCGAACTTACTACCCAGTCATAATTGTTCTAATGAGACAAGCTTGCTAACCATTGCACCGCCTCAAGGTGCCCAACTACATGGCTTATATAAATGCTCCTTAGCATCTTTAGACATGACTTCACATGTGATTTCTTCAAAAGCAGTGCTTATATATAGAGTATAGTATGTCTGGTCATTTGTTTTCTGGTGTGCCTGTCTGCTAATCCCAGTTACAGACACCTACTCAGACACATTTTGCTTGTTTAACTCTCACAGAGTTAAACTGTGGTTTATACTGTAACTATGCTGAGTGGATCTTAGTTATAGCTTCTAGGAATGCACAATCTGGTGGGATCACCAGTTTCAACAAGGCTAGAACATTGAAACCCTCTGTCAGATGACTTGTGACTTGGAGCTAACACAAACATCGATGAATTTAGATCAATTTCATCTACCCAATTCCACTCACAAATCTGGGGTCAACCTATGGTTTGATTTTAAGGCACTTTAAATTTAAAGCTGAGTGTTCCTGCATCTTTAACATTTTTTTTTACATAAAACTATGGCCAACGTTTGTTATATTTCTCTGAAACAACCTTTCCCCTATATCTATAACTTTATCAATAAAACCGTTATTAGTCTGAAGGATTTTCTTTCCCATACCGAAATGCATTACTTAGGAATTTTTCCATTTTCTCATTCTGTTACTCTCCATATTATCCATGAATAGCTAATATCTATCATATTATATAAGATTGTATCATATAATATTAGATTGTTTGGAAAATAATGTTCAATTTTCAAATAAACATTTTAATTGCATTCCAATATATTATTATAAAGGTTGCACAATTCCTAAAGATTAAAGTGTCCTTTTTGTTAAGTTTATATAAAGCTCTTTCATAATTTAACTTAAAACATTGTATACACCCTTACCTTGAACATGAAAAAGAGGCATTTACTTATTTTTTTTTTGTTTTTGCATGGATCCAAGCTTTGTCATAATGCTTCTCAAACTGCTGCCAACATTAACAGAGCAGGAGATGAAGGATCCTCTTGTGATCAGAAAATACAGTGCTGGTTTGTGAAGCTTCACAGTGGGGGCATGAGTCTTGAAGATCAAGGTGGTAGATGATTTCTATCTGCAATTGACAATCAACATCTGAGAACACTAGTTGAACAAAACCCACATCAAAGTGTCAGAGGAATATTTCAGATAATGGGTGTCAGCTTTTCAACAATATCGAACCATCTCAAGAAAATTAGTAAGAAGAATCTTGATAAATAGGTTCCATATGAATTTAGTGAAAGTCAAAGATTTTGACATTTTGAATTGTGTCCAATGCTGCATCTGCAAAATTTGAATGATTCATTTCTTGATTGAATAGTGACTTGTGATCAGAAATGGATCCTTTATGTCAATTGTAAATGAGCAGCTCAATGGCTTGATCATGACAAAGGACCCAAGCACTTTCCAAAACCAAAATTGCACTAACAGAAAATTATGGTGACTGTCTGGTGGTCTGCCTTTGGCATTATCCATTACAGCTTTCTGGAATCTAACCAGAGCATCACTGCCGAAGTTTACAACCAGCAACTGGATGAAATACACATTCAATTAAGCAAAATTCAACCAGCATTGATTAATTGACAAGGTCCAGTTCTGCTTCATGACAACATTCACCCACATGTTGCCAGGATGACACTGCAGATGCTCACTGATTTGGGATACAACACTTTACCACATCCACCATATTCCTTTGATCTCTTGCCCATAACTACCACATTTTCAAGCATCTTGACAAAATTTTAATCCAAAAGACATTCCTTATTTGTTTGATTGATTCTGTTATGATCCAGAATGATGGCGATATTTCATCATTCTAAAAATAACCTTGATATCAGTGATGATAGAAAATAATGATATTATTAAATAAAGATAAAAAATTTCATCTTAAATCAATCTTGCTGCCAGTATTGAAAGATGAGAAATGTATTTCATCATTCTAAAATCTGAACTTTATCATTATAAAAATGACTCTTCCACCACAAGCAAGGGCAGTCATGACACTAGAGTCAGTAGGGTCAATAGAGTAGAGTAGCAAGTAGCAGCAGCAATAGTAAAAAGGAACGCAACACCTACGTATCACTATCCCTCCAGAAAATCAAAAGTTGATGTTCTCAAATGCTATCCTTAACAATGAAATTCTCAAAACAAGCAAAAAGAAGTACAAACTTTTAAAGAAACAAAAGAGACAGTAACACTGAGAATATTTTTGACCCACACCATGCCAATATCTGTAATTCACATCACAAAAAAGAAAAATACACATTCTTGTTATTAATGTCAACATGTGCCTCAAGTTTTATTGTTGTTATCATTGTACGTTTTTAATCATTTCATTATTGGTAAAAAAAAAAAAAAAGAAAAAGAATCCTCTTACAGATACAATACATATAACAATGGGGTAGCTATACATTAACATATCTAACATTTGACCCCGTTACAATTCATCTTTTACAGATTATCAATCTTTTTCAGGTTATTTAAAGCCAGAAAATATTTTTAGATTGAATAATTTTTTGATGATACAAATCTTACTAATTAACCCATAGTTGGGGGGAGAAGAGGTGGATTCATACCTTTCCCAAGGATATTTGCATGTAAGTGAATATAATGAACACAACTAGAATTGGAACTCGGCTCTCCAATTAACAATTCCGAGCCATTATCTATTACACTACCTGAACATCCAAGCTTACAGCACCTGGTATTCCCAAGCAGTCACCCATCTAGGTGCTGTCCAAGTTCAACATTGCTTAACTTCAGTGATCATATGGGAACCAGTGATTCAACATGATATGGCTGTATGCCCCCTCATTCCTTACATATTCCTTTGTTAAGAATTACTTACTTTGTGGAATAGACTCCCATGTGGATGCTTCCTTGAACACTACAATCTTAACCATTTCATGTCTAGGGTCATTTGTTGTAACCATCACTTCCTCCTCTTACTTTCATATCACTCACCTCATTCAGTAAACCTCTACCTTGAGTGGCTCTTGTGTCTTGTATGGTGAACTACTGTAAAAAAAATCTCTTGACCCAAACTGGGCTTAAAATTTGTGCCTGTGTTCACAAGTCCAGTAATTTGAATAAACTAATGAAGATCTACTATGAAGAATGGTTCTAAAATACCAGCAGATAAGTGTGAAGCTAATGGCTACTTACAGGAAGACACTGGACACTGTCATTGTGAACGAAGACTGTTCCACAGAGTATTAGGCTTTGTTTGAATCAGCTTTGAAGTATTGAATACTTTTTTACTCTATTTTGTTTTAAATCTTCTATAATCTTATATAATTATATTTCTTTAAATTTTTGCTCATATCTACAAATGACACCAATATATTGTAAAACTTTTGAGTTAGTAGGCATCCATAAATCTCATGAGATAAAGGTAACACCCTGTTTGGTCAAAATTCAGTCCTTCAGTTGTGAAACTGAAGTGACTTCTCCAGGACACAGGCTTGAGCAGTGGTTTCTGGAGGCCATGGGCTGCCCAGACTACATAGCCACCCCTGTTGGCCATACCATCAAGATCCAATGGAATACAGGGCATTAAATTTGGGGATGGTTTGGCTGCAGGAGGAAAATTGTCAGTGTTGTCAGCCAAATGCCTTCAAGGCCCCATTCCAGGTTTCCTGTCTGGATTTACTTCCATAGCCTTTCCATGTTTGGATATGACCACAAGTAGAGATTTAAAATCAGGGTTCTCCTTCCTCTAGATGGAGTCCTTTCCTGGGTTGTCAAGTTCCATCTACCTGAATCAAGCTGGTTATGAGGTACTAGTTTTCTGCCTTCACCCATTCTCTGGCTTGGAGCTAGACTTAGTTGTCAGAGCCTATTTGAGACCCATACCACAGAAGCATTTTATCAACAGTGGGAGCTTGTCCCCATTATCACCCCCTGCTATGACAGCCTTTGGAACATATATAATGTACATATATAAACATTAAAAATATTACATGTTTTGGAAGCTCCCAAAAAATTAATGTTTTTTTTTAAAAATATATAATAAAATATTAGATAAACAAAAATACTAGCAAGCAAGACAAATTAAAAAATAGTAAATAAACAAATACAAATATTGAAAAGTTTGTTGATTTTAGAAAAAGATAATAGAGACAAAAAATGAAAATATGAATTTATATTTTAATTTTTTAAGGTAAATACTTATTGTAAATAATGCAATATACTAATTTTTATGGTGTGTATTAAATACTTAAATTTTTCCCACTGCACATGTGTGTGTGTGTTTTCATGTATTATTAGTTACTAATAATTAGTAGGTCCTATGTAAATTACACAGATTTACTAATAACTTTTTAATATTGCTCTCTGTACTTTTGTCTCTCTTACTTTCTTTCTTTCTCTTTCTTTCTTTCTTTCTTTTTTTCTTTCTTTCTTTCTTTCTTTCTTTCTTTTTAGTGTCCCTTTCATTGAGCTTATCCTCCATTTCCTTCTCTTTCTCTGGAAATTTCTTTTTTCTTTCTTTCTCTTTCAGTGACTTTTCTGTTGTCTTTCTACAAATCTTAATATATAACACTGAATTACTGTCGTGTAGCCCAGCTACTGTTATGCTCTTCTCAAAATGCATCACAATAGAAATTCTATTCTTCTACTGCAAAATTACCAAGCCATTCTTTATCAAAGAAAGAAAGATATACTAGAAAATACTGAAAAAGAATGAAAAGAAAGACAAAAGTAAATAATAGAAGAAAAGAAGCAAAGAGAGGAAGAAATGAAACAGAGAAAGAATAAAAAGAAAAGAGAAAATATTTGTAGAAACGGCAGAGGGAAGCCATGTCTGGTCAGAGAAACAGAGACTAGTGTTGAGATGCCAGGTAAGGATCAATTATATTACAGACCGTTCTTTGAATTTTATCAAAAATCTCAAGAAACACAGCAGGAGCACCTGAACAGATATGGCCATAGAATTCAATACACAGGTATTTATAAATGTGCAAGATGGATTCTTCATGAAAATGTTTTTAATGTGGCTCTCTGTACTTTTCAACCCATAACTATTCCCAAATAGTTATAAGAAAAGTGACATAGTCTCTCTTAAAAATACTGAAATGTTTACAACAGGTTGTTAAATCACAAAACATAATTTAACCCCTCACTACAAACATGATTATATACTTGGCTAATTTTGCTAGTACTTATAAAATATTTAAAAAAAATTGTTACTCTGTAATTTAACCCCATACCACAAACAACTACATTTATCTAAGATGACACTCACTGCAATCTCTTTCTGTGTCACACTCCTTTTTTGTCTCTCTACATTCCTCCCCCACTTTCTGTTTTACTCTCTATGTCCATCTCTCTTTCTGTTTCCCTCTCAGTATCTGTGATATCAAGTGTGACACAAACCATACATAGGTATAAGCGTGTTGCCATATAAATGATGTGTTATACTACTATATGTTTTCAAAAACAATTTAAAGGAAATTAATAGCAGTGTCAATGGAAAAACGTCCTTTTGACATTTCATTTTTTGTGGATACAAAGATTGAAGTTTGTTGAAGTTAATTTAAATGCAGTTGGATGTTTCAGAAGGACAATGATTCTAAACATACCATGGATGCAACTGAACAATGTTTTGAAAATAAGAAAATACACCTATTGAAGTGGCCCAGTCAGTCCTCTGACTTGAACCCAATTTAAAATTTGTGTCCATGCCAACCAGCCTAGTAATTTGGACAGACTAAACAAGATTGCCATAAACAGTGGTCCAAAAATACGACTTAAAGTGCTTGAATCTAACAGCTACTTATAGAGTGTGATCGAAGGTTGTCATTGCAAACAAAAGTTATACCACAAAGTATTTGGCTCTATTTAATTCTGCTATGTGTAGAGTATTAAATGATATTTCATCCCATTTTGTTTTAAATATATCTTCTATAATTTTATGTAATTATATTTCTTAAAATTTTTCCTTATATTTACTATTGTAAATATCAAACAAAATAAATCAACATGGTGTAATTGTCAGATAAATACTTACTATATGTGTCAGTAAATAATTCAGTAAACTGGTGGCATATACTAAATGTTTACAGCCACATCATGTTGAAATGCTGGTTCCTGTACAATCACCAAAATTAAGCAACCTTGAGCCTGGTCAGTACCTAGATGGGTGACAGTTTAGGAATATCAAGTGCTGTAAGCTTTGATGTGCTGGTGGTGTAATGGATAATAGCTTGGAATTGTTAATCAAAGAGCCAAGTTCCAATTCCCATTGGGTTCATTATATTCACTAACTAGCAGTAGAGCCCGGTGTTGCCCGGGGATGTAACAGTAAGAGATAGATCAAGTATTGACCATCATAAAGACTGAAAAATAAAATTGACAAAGATTATTGTTTAAGGTTGACGGACACGCATGTCTTAATTAGTTTTGTTTGTTTTTTTTTTGACAAATTGGTCAAACCCAGACTCAAACAAAAACATTGTTTTCAATCGTTATGAGTCTACCAATTGAATAGAATTTTATTATAAACATTCTGAATGTAAAAATAAAGAAAAAAGTGTGCAAGACAATAAGAAACACTACCTGCCAAAAAGAAAAAATTAAGTTTTGTTGAAATCAGTTGAAAAATGTAGGAAATCCGATCCCATATATAAAGGAACACACACACACACACACACACAAACAACTTGGGTTTTTATAAGTATAACTCGATATGAGTTGTCCCCCTTTCATTCTCGTGATGACTCTTAATCGTGTTTTCAAATTGATTTCGTGCAAAAACAATTATGTTTTTCCAATTTTTGGCACTGTCAGAACCACCACAAGGTAATTTTACGTAGTCCTGTGAAGTTTTGTTGAAATCGGTTGAAAAATGTGGGAAATCCGATCCAATATATAAACGTACAGACACACACACACACACAACCTGGGTTTTATAATAAGTATGATGCACAAATACTCTTGGGAAAGGTATGAATCCACATCTTCTCCACCTAGCTACAGGTTAATTAGTAAGACTTGTATCACTAAATCATTATTATCTCAAAAAAAAGTCTTCCAATCTAAAAATATTTTTCTGTCTCCCAAGGCTCTATCCATGGACCAATATTGTTCCTAATTTTCATCAATGACCTTCCTGATACAGATACAGCTGTCAACTCCATATCTATGCTAATGACACAACTATTTACTCTTGTTTTAACAGTAAGTTCCATAGGTTCAACAAATTAAAACTGGCAGCTGATCTAAAAAAAATTACCTACAATCTGCTGTTAACTAGGGCAAGGAATGACTTGCTTTCTATTAATTATCTGAAAGACTTCTTTTTGTTTTCCATCAACCTGGTTGATGTTAACCTCCAGGTGAGTGACTCATTGTGCTTTCTCATGTTAACACACTCTGCTGGCATGAAGTGGAAAGATTATATTGAATCAATTGCTAGGTCTCTTGCTAGGAAAGTTGGTTCATTGTTTTGTGCTAGACAATTTTTCTCGCCATAATCTATCTTGCATATTTATAAGTTAACATTTCATCCATTCTTTGAATATTACTGCAATATATAGTCTGGTGTTTATGCTATAAGCATTGCCAAGAAGAGAAGAAAGTGAAAATAATATCGGTGTCAAGGGAAAAACTGTCTTTTTGGCACATTGTTTTTTGGGAGTGCACAAAGGTTAAAGATTGCCAGAAAAATATATTTAAGGAGAGAGAACAATAATTGAACTGGAATTAAAAAGACAAAAGATAACAATTGACATTGCATTTAAATTTTGAAGATCAAAGATTACTGGGAAGCAAGAAACTGGAAAAGAGTTCCACAAGTGAGAAG